ACACACAAACACACTGACACACAAACACACAAACACACTGACACACACTTTGAGTTAGAGAGCCCTAAACATATCTGTTATGACTTATTTATGATGCACCTGTCATTAAAAAATATTGTGTTGAACAACATGAGCTTTGGACTCCAAAAGTCCAAACAAATACAGTTGTTATTAGTGGAGTATTACGGATTGCTTGTTGTTGTCATTTTTCTTGCACCATGATGGCAGAAATAAATAAATTACACAACACAATATTCAAACCCTTCAACATGCATTTGATCTGTGATTAAGGCTCCACATTTTATTTAAGGATTGACGGGTGCACAGAGGAGTGCTTTGGTTTAATCTTGTTAAATTGCTATGGCAGGACCACAAAAAAAAAACCCATTTGAATCCTTTTTTTTGAAACATGCAAATGTCAGCTTTTACATTTTTGTGTAAGCAAGAAGAGAATGGATCAGACTGCAAAGGCACTTCTGAAAAACTAGACATCTGAGAAATGAGCTGTCACCACTCAGTGAATAGAGCTCAGTTATCAGAGGCCAGCTACAACTGGCTTTTCAGTATAACACATTACTGGAGAGAAATCATACCAAAGTAAAATATTAAAGTATTTTATTTGGCTTTCTTTGCGGTCTTTTGATATTTTAGTCACAAACAAACTATTAATCCATGATTTAGAAACCAGGTCATATCTTCATTTTGGTCTGTCAGGCTTCTTTGCCATCTGGCCTATTTAGCTCCCACTTGTTGTTGCTCTGTTTGAGCTCTTTTTTTATCCATAGGCAGAAACTGAGAACCAGGAATGGAGGTTGCGTGACGGGTTAGTGGTCAACACTGTTGAAACCCACTTGCAGTTTGATTTTTAGCTGCGGCTGATTGGAATTTCCATGACGGTGTCTGAAATCATTCACTGATTGATATATAGTCACATTACATCTTTTATGTCCTTTTGTAGTGTGTCTAGAGAGTGTGGTGGTGTGTCTGAATATTTCTGCATGCAGGCAAAATATAAAAAGAACCAAATCTGAAAAATATAAACCAACCAAGATGACAGCACCATGTTAAAGTTCATTATCACAACACAGTTTTTTTTTACCTGGATTATTTTAGGATGAGGTCTGAACAATACAAGCTAATGTCCAATGTTTTCCCCTCTGTGGTTTTCTGTGAATGACAAATTTAGCTAAATCTATTACAAAGCCCCCAGGGGCAAAATCCATACCAGGTCTAGCTAAAGAAGCTTGTGGAGCTAATTATGTTCCCAAAGATTCACCCATTAAGTGCACCAATGACTAAATGGAGGTAGCGTTAGAACAACCCATTAAGTCAAACCCCAAATGGAAATGTTCTGCTGATAATGGGAGCAAAGGGAAAAAAAAGCCTTTTAATTCAACCGTTTATATAGAGCCAAGGCTCTTTTAGCAGTGGTTGTTTTTTGACAATTATCAATACTTAAGCTGCTGGCGTCAGACCCATTTCATACTCTGTTTACCACAGCCAGTCGGTCTATTTGGCCTCAATGTTCATGGGCAGCCATACCAGTCTTCTCCATATATACTAAGAGAAAGCCCTGTGACACATTCTTTAACGCTGCTCTCGGGCTACCTTGGTTAAAAAAAATGCAGAAGGGCTCTAACAATGTGGCAGTAATCAGGTTAAGGTTCTACTCCTACACTACAATCCGAGGTTCACGCTATTTATACCCACTTAGGGTCAGCACGGTAAGACAAAGATCAGTATAACATTACAGCTTTACTAGCTAACCTCGTTTTTCTTTGGTTGTTTTTTTATTGCTCTCTGCTTCACCTCAGAAGACCTTTGAATGCGTGTTTTATAGTAACCTGAGCAAAGGTTGAAAGCAGTGTGTTTCTGTATGTGTCTTTGTGGTTGTATGAGCTTCATTGAGCAGAAATGCTACAAGTTGTGTATAATTTACGTCTTGTGCTGTCTCATATTTCCTGTCACGAGACTCACCTGTTGTTGGCATCCCCCCCCCCTTCTCTTTCTCTCTACGTAAAACAGGTGAGGAAAGGGAAGAGTGACAGCATGGCCCAAGTCATCCCTCAGCCCCGCCGCTCTGCTGGGTTGCCTCATGCGAGACCCCTGTCCATACCAATAGTTCTGCCCCTAACCTCTGAGCTGAGGAGCCCCAGTCCGGAGGCGATGGATACAGCTCCCATTGCACTGGCTCGGAAGGACACCCCGGACACTGCCTCGCAACTCAGCCATCTCGACGTCAGCTCCTCTGGCAGCATGGAGGCCCTCAGCAGGTCAGTGTGTCCTGCAAAGAGCATGCACTTGTGTCGAAGAAAATTACTAATACCAACTGGTATTTCTTGCAGTTGCAGAATTGAGATGAGACTTGAAATTGTTACTGAAATTAATTTACGATCCATTTTGTTTTTAAAAATAGATTCATTAATGATGCTGTTAATAAATTGTCATTTTTTAGACAGCATGTTGTGAGTTTCATTACTGTAAAGTGAAAATATGATTATATTATATTTATAGATATTTTATGTGCAGTTTATGCATTTAAATTATTATTTGTTTTTCAAATAAATATCTTAAGCCTTTCAACTAGAGTAAAAGGTAAAGCATGCACCAAAAACTGAATTTACTGACTCTGTGAAATATGGTGAGTTACTCCCGCAGTTTCATGGCTCCTTCAGTATGACACTCTTATCTGTGAGGGTGAGCCTTTATAACCACTCTAAAATAAATTTTACTCTGCCACAAACCTAACATTACACTTTTAACGATTTATATTTCAATTTTGTAATGTCCCGCTCTAATGAGGAGAATGAAGGGGGGATTCGGGCAGTGGTAAATAGGTTATGACCACTGTTTGCACAAGTGATGTTCTATTAGCCAAGGGTGAGGGTTAAGAATCCTGAGTGTCTGACAGCGATCGGGGATCTAAAGCCCAAGCCTCGTGGCAATGAGCCTCTGGCATGCAAACAAGCCTATTATAAGAAGCTGAAACTGGAACCACTTGGTGTTTAGTGTCCTCAGTCCTGGAATAGCAAGGCTACAGCTGTGTCTGTTGTTGGGGCTCTTGCTGCTTTGACCGAGTGCTCAGACTAGCATTAACCTTGGCTTTGATCACACCTGTAATGTTTTGGCTTGAAAAATGTCCCTACTATACCTTTTAAATCCTCATTTAATGTCACTATTTAATCGACCGTACAAAGAATTTGTTTCAGTGGAAAAACAACAAAATATAATGTGGGGCAAAGTAATAAATGTTATATGTGTGATGTTGAAGCACTAAGATGAGAAATGATGATGCTATGTTGGCTTCTACTATGGCTTGTCGAACACACCAGTGACCTTTAGTACGACATTAATCACAGTTTCAAACAGCGTCAGCAACCAGATCCATTAACACATTACATAAAAGTTTAGTATGACACACACATCACGGCACACTGCACCCACTTACACATATTTTAAAAAATCTGTGTAATATAGTTGTAATAACAGGCTTTGTGGACTGTATTTTGATTTTAGAATATGAAGTATTTCTTTTTCAGCTTTATTGGCAATAATAATAAAATGTTGATTATCTTAACAAATTCACGTAGTAATTCTGTGTTTTAAAAAAAAGTCAGCCTCAGTTCTTCGAGCGTTTCTTGTTAAATCATCTGAATCATGTTAAAAGGTCATACATTGCTCTTAATGGACCAGATGTTTTCGTCTACATAAAGTGGCAAATATAATACTTCCAAGGTGGCAACAGCTTTCCTCGCCATGTCAGGGTATCAATAAATCTCCTGGTAGAATTCCCCCACACCCTTACATTCTCCTTGTCAGGTCGCATTGGGTGACTGATATGCAGACAGCGTGACAGGGGACCCCAGGAAAGTGCGTCACCAATCTGAACTCACTGGTATTTACTAATAGACACCTTCGAATAGATTAAAGACTAAAATTAAGGCTTTTGGTATTCACTAGTATCAACAAATTAAAGATACTGAAGCTATTAAATGTATGTGACTACAGTGAAAAATAGATCACGTTTATGAGTTAAAAAATTATTTCCAAATGACAAATATACCCGAAGCACATATATGATAATTTTCCATAAGTGGGTACATCTGTGTTTTCATATGTGTTGCTCCTCTCATGGCGGCTTGTCAGCTTGCTCTCACTTTCCATAGGTATGTGTCAGACAAATCTGTGTCAGCATAATGTGACACATAGCAGCACAACCACTCGTTCCACAACTGAATTGAGCATTTCACAGAATGACAAAACAAACTGACTATTTTTAATTTTTGTAGGTGGTGAAATATGACATTCTAAATTTGGGAAGTATGTTAATACTACTACTTACTGGTGGTAAAGAAGCAATTTTTCAAATGTGTAATGTAGATATGATACATGCACCGTTTATTCCAGGAACTACCCTCCGTCCCGTACAGTCACTTTACTCGCTCAGCTCACATTCACCTTTCACTAGCAAGTCAAGTCATCATCCTCAGGGTTTCCCTGTTTGTGGCTCCACTATTAGATCTTCTTGTTTATGCACGTTTTGACCTTTGTACTGTATCAGAGTCTTACCACGTTTAGCATATAGCATCTTTAACGTAACACTTTACTGTACTCCTATACATCAAATACATTAATCAAGTAATTTTGTATGCCACAATGCTCTCACCTGTACCTGAAATATGACACCAGCCTTATTCACCACTCGGGCCGGGCAAGCCAACATAGCAGTGTCATGTGAACATATTATGCTCTCAGCATTGCGTAGTTGCACATAGGGGATGCATACTGGCTTTTGTGTGGAGTTGCCATGGTTCACTGAATCTTGTGATGTAACCATTGAGTTTCTTAGAAGCCCATTGGAAATAGGTGGGAGTGAGGAACGTTGCAGTGTGGTGTGAGTGCAGGTTCCCTGTGGGTATAACGGTATTGTTGGCTGCCTGTCAGGAAGTCTCATCGGTCAACCTGAACGCCTGACAGCACATATTTACAGCAAGAAACTGCTGGCTGGATCAGACTGGTTCTCCTGCACATCAGATGTGTCATATAGCATAGTGGCCATTAATCAAGTTTTTATGTCTATGAATAATCTTAGTCATCCAGATCATATGATACAGATCTGCTGTTTTATTCTTGAACATATTCACAGTTCATCAAAGAGGCTGCGTTAGTTTTCTCATGTCTGAAACTCCCCGCCAGTCGGGTTTGATGTTTCAAGCTCAGTGGTGGAAATCAGATACCTGGCTTGATAGTGAGGAAAAAAGATGACAGCAGGTGTGTGTGTGTGCGTGTGTGTGTGTGTGTGTGTATTTTAACTTGTACTGAAAAGTTCATTTATCGATTAGACGGAAAATTTATTGTTTAACGGACTTTTCAGGTATATAAACACCAACAATTTACTGTTTCTAGCTTCTCACATGTGAAGATTTGATGTCTGAGTACATTTGGATTTTGAATTGTTTATCAGAAGACATGAAGACTTTGGGCTCTGGTCTCTGTCTTAAGACATTTAAAGACAAATTATTAGTCAAATAGTTAATTGATTAATTGATGTTAAAATAATCATTAAATACAACCCAAATTGCAGCAAGCATGTGGAAATCTTTAAGCCACTGCTAACCTAACACAAATGCTGTGTTTTTCTGTGTAACTTTGCTTTTAATGTCAATTGGGTGTTGCTACGGTAACGGTCATGATGAAGAGACAAAACAAAATGCACGTGTGAGTGACTGAAGAATCTGTAAATTGTAACATTCGTCTGCAGGTCTATCTACGCCTCAGTTTAAAACCCGAAGCATGATGTCTCTGTGTTGGTTTAACACCATTTTCTCTGCTGCAATGAACATATACCAAGCATAGCTTAGCCAGCTTATCCAACAAATACTTTAGGTCTTGACCAGCACACAGTTTGTGCTCTGAGATATTCTAAGAATGTCCAGCACTGGTCTAAAAGCCGATGGTTTGGGGGTCCTGAAGGGACTGGAGACTGCACAGAGGAGCTGAGACTCTGGCTGTACAGGTCCCAAATCCTGCTTGGCTCTTTATTAATTAATGCAGTCAAAGAAAAACTTTCTTTTAGATCTACCTTTGGAGTAGTGTTCCTTTGCCGAACCATCTCAAGCTTCATTTTGCAAAAATTGTGTAAAAATGTATTATTAAAGAACTATCAACTGCAATTGGCAGCATTGAGTTAGTCCCTCTTTTGTTCATTTTTTTTTTTTTACTTTGGTTCATCCTGAAATTTGCTTCTAGATTTTTGCTACACTTATTCCTGGTTGTGGTAATAAATCACCTCACTTTATTGGTAAATCGGTGTTTGACTTTGGTTTGGGGAAAGGGAGGAAAAGTCCTTTTGTATACTTTCATGTTGCGCTCCTACACCTTTAGACAGAGGCGTAACACAAAAACATAGGGAAAAAAAAACAACCTTTAATTAGACTTCAGTGAGTGTTGTTGCATGTTGCAGAGGGATTTTAGAAAAAGTAAGGCAGAGCGGAAGGAAAGGGACCTTGCCAAACATTTCTGGAGCCAGCTGGAAGATTTTTCTGCTAAGCCAGACTACCTTTGTCTACACATTTTTAAAAATGTGGAAAAAGTGGAGCGTATCCAGATTTACCAACTTGTCATTGGTAGTTTTCCGTTCGCCCCGGAGGGATCAGGCCTTTTTCCGAGTACCCCTACAAAGCTGCTCGTTATCCCCTCAGTATGGTAGTGGGTAAGCGGGATTTCCGCTTTTCGCAATTCAACAGCGGCGGTGACGGCACACATTATTTTAATACGCTTGCCAGACTGTGTAACACCAGTTAAGAACATGGGTGTGGGAGAGAAAAAAACATTGACCCCTGTGGCTCCAAAAGAATTTGGAAGTATTTGTGGTGAACTGCACCCAGGAACACAGACACATTTCTCCTGTACATTGTGTCTTTTGAGAAGACTTTTGAAGTTCAACGAACTTTGGCCCGTTTTGATTCCTGACTGAATTGAAACCTAAATCCTTTGTTTTGAACTTGTTGAGGTGCTGCTGCCCGAAAAACCAGAGTGGTTTCCCCTCCCCTTGACACGCTTGCCCCTCTTACAGTAAGCCACTCGAAGGCACGTCACGTACCAACACACACCAGAAAACCAAACATTCACTGAATGGTTGAACTGAACAACAACTCCGTCTTCTGAGAGTCAACATGTTTACAACCTACGATCAGACTGATTGTTAGTTGGCACAGTAGGCAAAGTTTCGGTTTGATGTTGGCTATTTTCTGTTCCTCTTTAAGACATAAAAAACCAAAACAGCAACAAAAACAAACAAACAAACAGGAAAACTGAATATTTTTGATATGTTTTTAAATCAACAATATTGTGTGACTGCTCCTTTTGGCTAATGTTAAGCTGTATATGGTATAAAGGACAGGAAATTTTGTTTTAAATAGGGACTGTCAATAACTATAATATAAAAAGCTGTGACATATGCACATCACAGTTTCATAAAGCCAACCATATTGCTTGTTTTGTTCAACCAACAAAAAACAAAATTTAGTTGACAATTATATAAACAGAGAAAGTAAGAAAATGATAAAAAAATCTTTTTTAGGATTTTTGCTTAAAATAGTCAAACTAAATAATACTTTTTTTCATTTGTGGGTTAGTTGATAAATCACCTAATTGTTTCGTCTCTATTGATTAGCAAAATGTGCTGCAGACTTGTATTGAAGTATTTGGTGAAATTGTTTTGGAGACCAAACAAATAGCCCGTCTTATCATTCACTAAAAGATAAATACTGAGCTGAGCAGTTTAAGTGTCAAAATACAGTCTGGAATTGACTTTCTCTGCTTCTACTGTACTTGGTTCAATTTTTTTTTCAATCTGACCTTTTGTCCAAATTCTTTCTGTTGCATATTTGTAAATTGAAAGCACTGTTAGAGTTCATGTTGTTACCTGTGACATGTGTTCCTGTGACCCAGTTGAACATCCCGATAAATAGGGGTTTAAAATGATGAATTGTTGTGTCTTTTATGGAGAAAACATAGACCTTTTTCGCTGCAGACATTTTCACTTGTCATGGTAGAAAAGGCGCAGATGCTACTAATAACATATTCAAGTATCACAGTAAGCAATGACAGTGTGCCAGTGAGCCAGCATGCACATGGCACTGTTATTTTTAACAGTTTTACACCTGTGCTTTTCCTACTGTGACATAAAAAAGCCATTAACTGTGAAGATGCATGTCTAATTTGCTTTGAAGCTCACATCAAAACACAATCTGGTTGCTTTATATTTTTAAATTATTATGAATTATATTTTAAAATTATGTTTAATAAAAAAAGAAAGCAAAGTTGTCACACAGTGTCATTGTAGCATCAATAATCAACATATATAAAGACGGCCTTGATTTAACACTGCTTGGTAAGGTTTGGTTGCAGTGTTTTTCTTCCTGCTTTGACTTTAGAGAAGATAATACAGTATTCAGCTCTGCTTAGGCAAACAAGACTAGGTGATTATGAAATTTTCAGCCTGTAAGAGCCAGGATATGAAAATATTAAGCAATCTCAACATTCAGTGCCAGCACTGAGTTCCTCTTATCGTTGCATAATGTCATCATGTGTTGCTGGCATACATTCAGTAGCAGCAGCCTGCCTATATTCTAGAGCAGCACCCATTTCTAACTTGGTTCATAATAATTACCAGAGACAAGTCCCACAAAGGCACTGATCTGCAGCACTGCATGGCTATTATTCTGCAGACAAAAGCCAGCCTTATGCTCCTATTTTCAGCCCCAGTGACATGTAGTGATGAGTGGGGTGAGGGTTAATGTTTGTATGCCATTGCACTTCACAACCACATCATGTAAGCTAATTAATTATTTGTGTTTGTTTTCATATTTCAGCTCCCAAGAAGAAGAGAGGCCAATATCTCCTTTCTACATGAGGTAGGCCTCCAGTCTTTGTGTTAGAAAGCTGGCAGAGCTGTGTGACAGTATGTTGTTTTGCACTAGAGGTGTGGGGGAAGTTGCTGTGAGCTGCCTTAGTGCATTACCATTGGAAACAATGGAGCCGCCAGTTAGAGGGAAAGCAGGGCAAAATGCACATGCAACAGTTTGCTCACCACTGTTTGGGTATTGTGGCGGAGGCGGCCACAGCACATGTTTCAGACACACCACTTAAGGAGAAGACACGTCTGGGTGAAGACACTGTTTTTCAGAATGATGTGATGGTTTACATAATTGAACAGAGTATCAAGAATAATAACAGGAACTATTTTGATAATTGATTAACCAGTAATAAGTTCTCAAGCAGAAAAAGTGAAGAAATGCCAAATGTTCTCAAGTGAGAGAATTTGCTTTTCTTTTTATCATTGTAATAACTGAATATATATTGAGGTTTCACTGTTAATTTAACAAAACAAGACATTTTAACCCCTGGGCTGCATTTCTCTCCATTTTATGGACTAACCATTAATTGATTAATCAATAAATTATTTGGTAGATTCATTAATAATGAAAAATAATTACAGCCCTAAAATATATGACTACATCCAACCAGTATTACTGAATTTAATATATTTTCTTTACTTATTTTACAGTCTTGGGTAAAATTAACCCATTACAAGTGAATGAAATTATATTAAACAGTAAACCTCATGTTTTTGCACGTGCAAGTGATTAACGTTTCATTACAATCTCACCACACCTTTTTGATAATCACCTGTTAATCATTAATGAACCTACTGTCATCATTTCCCAGTTTGCCCCCAGTGTATGTTGACCTAAAGCCTTCAAAACTCAGCAGTTTGTCCACTCAATGTTAACAGCTGGTTCTTTGGTTAGTCATTTGGAGTTGGCCCATTTTCAGGTGCTGATATGACTCCAGGGCGGCTGTTAGTGTGATCAAGTTTACAATTATATAAAACAGATTTTGTCGTGATTTTATTGCTTTTTTTAGACACAGAACACAAACTTTACAGTATAATTGGGGAGAATTGAGTTTCTAGGATAAGGCACTCACAGCTGACAAAAAAAATGCAGCTAAAACTCAAATGCACTTTATGATTATTTGCCTTATATCTAAGCTTGAACATTAACAGTTTCTTCAGATTTTTATAGTCTGATTAAATCTGGCTGTTGCCAAATCACAGGTAACAGCAGTAAACCTGGATAGAACAAAAACCTTTGTATTAACTTTGACTGGGACATCTTGTCTTTTGGTTACCCAAATCCTTTTATTTATGACAGAAGGCCAAAGGTCCCAACTAGTTTACTAATCTAAGTCCTACGCATGTGGTCAGCCATAGCGTAAACTATGAGCAGTATGCGTAGTATATAATACATAATTATAGCCTGGTTTACTCTTTGTATGTATTACATAATCTATGTACTCGGCATACCTACTCAGTAAATTGGAGATTACATTTTACTACTCACATTTCTAAGCCTCATTTAAAACATTTCATAGGTCTCTATGACTCATTATAAAGAATGTGCAGGCACATACGTGTATATGATATAAATGCATACAGAATAATTTGTACTGCGCTCTTACTGCTACTGTTTTCTTATGTATAGAAAATGTATATCATGTTCATTAGTGTATTGGTGTAGTTTTGCGTCTTTCTCTGTCTGTCTGTCTCTCTTTCTCTCTCTCTCTCTCCCCCCAACTGGTCAAGCAGATGACTACCCACTAGAGCCGAAGGTCTGTCCTAAGTTTCTGCCTTCTTAAACAGGCAGTTTTCCTTGCCCCCGTCGCAAGTGCTTGCTCATGGTGTAACTGTTGGTCTCGTAAATGTTAAAAAAGAGTTCGTCTAGACCTCCTATTGAAAAGTGTCCTGAGATTAACTTCTTTATGAATTGCCTATTACATAAAATGAATTGAATTGAATGAATTTGAAATTATAAACATTAGTTTAAGATGAACATGGAGTGATGAAGAGCTGTACTTAGGCAAGTTATGGTAAAAAAAAATCTCAACATCATGGTGTGTCTAGAAGAAGCCAGGATCTCCAAGTCAAGACGTTGGATTTTGATACTGGATCAATAGCGTGGGACCGATCCACAATCATATACATTGCATACAGCCACGCTGCTAGCACTGATACATATTTCCTCTTTTTCAGCTCTTCAAAGTATGATATTTGCTGCATTTCTGTTTTATGTAATGAAACTTAATATCTGTAGATTTTGACTGTGGGTGGCAAAATAGCTCCTTGAAGATGTTGTCTGGTTTTATACACTAAAAATGAATCAATGAACTGAAAAAAATATTTTTACAGATTAACTGATAATGAAATCATCAGTTGCAGTCATAGTCTCTCTCACCCCGACATCTCTGAATGACTAAGACTGTATGTTGACACTTTCTCCCTCCCTTTACCTCACTCTGTCATCCCCATTCACTTCTCTTGCTCACGTTCATCAATGACTAACTCCATGCCCTACTTGTACTTTGTCACATACACACGCACATACCATACAGACTTTCTTTTCTCTTCTCTCTCTCTCTCTCTCTCTCTCTGCTGAAGTCTCATTGCATTCCTTCACACACAGAGACTTGCATGGGAGCTTAACATCAACCCAGTCAAAATGGATCACAGATCAACATAATTTTCTTCTGTGTGTGTTGACCAAAGACTCTAAAGGTCCTGGCTAATATCTGACTGTGGTGTAATACTGGATTACCTGAATGGACGCCCCTGGGTACACAGTGCTGGGGAATTAACTGGTATAAGCCTCTGCTGTGGAAGCTTTGGGGTTGTTTCCTCCTTGCCGTTTTTTCCTTAAAGAACAGTTGACTTTAAAACACCAACACAGACACAAACTACGGAAACATACTATTTTGTTCTTACTGTTATTTGCGTAGCAATTTTCTTAATTAGAAGGTCCTGAATGAAGCAATTATATAAAGCAAACTTTAAGCACTTGTAAAACAAAGACTTGCACTGCTGGGTTTTTAAATTCACACTCAGTGAAACAATAATAGCAAAATTACACAATTGAACCGCCAGACCTATCATTCCATAACAGACCTGACTTAACAGTTTAGTAAATCCTACAGATCCCATCAAACTGAAAACAGAAAAACAGCTGATGACTTGTAAATGGTTACTCTGGTAAATTCAAAAATCACATTTTAAATCTGTCAATTTATTGAATTTATTTATTAATAAGAGCGATACTACTCCCATGTCTGTCCGTTAAATATGAAGGTGCTGCCAGGAAGACAGTTAGCTTAACTTTGCATAAAGGCCGGAGACAGGAGGACTTTCAGACAGAGCCATGCTCTATCTGAAGGTAAAAAAAAATCAGTCTACAGAAGATTGCCGTTCTCAAGACAAGGATATTTGCAATAGAGAAGTCTTCTGAACTCACCAACCCAATCCTCTGCCGATGAGTTAGTTCACCAGAATTCAACCAGGCAAGATTGTAGAAGACTAACAAAACAAAACAAAACCAAAGCAAAGAAATGTGCTTTGAATGGGACTTCTCCTACATGCTTGGAATGGCGGATGATGCGAAGGTGTTGTAAACTACAACTATGCCGCTAGATGCCACTAAATCCTACACAAGTCCTTTAAATTCACCCACGGTCACTGCCACATCGCCTGCCTCCACCCTAAACCAAGTACATTCTGTAACGTCAACCTTGCTGATAAGAAGACAAAAACAGAGAACAGCTCTCTCCTGTCCAGGCTGACAAGACTGATAAGGCCAGCAAGGTCACCAACAGTTTCCCCCCATGTCAGTGGATGCCATTTTGCTTTACTGCTTCATTTCGAATCACCGGTATTCAAATCAACACCAAGTGAATCTGCTAGGCATCAGCGTAGACAGCAGAGAAGACAGGGTTCCTGGTTCAATTCTAATACCCCCAATATGCCTCTTCTTTCTCCCGAGGGCATGGAGCTACCGCCTCATACGGTGATCCCCACCATAACCCAGAATTCCTCATGTCCAGTTACATACTTAACATCTCCAAACCACCTAAATACTTTGCTGAATAGTTGTCTATCAGCTGCATTGACTTTGACTGTGCTGTTATTGTTGGCGGTTTAACATTCATTTTGACAACCTCCAGGACAGCAGCACTAAAGAATTGTTCTGTATTCTGGACAACTACAGACTGACTCAACATGGGACCTACACATAAGGGGCACACTCTGGTCTTAATCTTCTCCAAGCTGGCTCCACAGCTGTCTTTTCTTTGAGAAAACACAAATGTTGAGAATCACAAATGTTCAGTCAGAGTTAATCAGGGAATTGTATGTCACTGAAAACACCAGGGAATTCTTCATTCCGATTTTCTCTTCCAAATAGGCTTGGGTCTCAGTCAGTCATCTTGTAGATAATTTCAGTCATTACATTATGTCATTGGTGCCATTGCCCCCACTAAAATAAAGGGAGTTTCAAAATACACCATGGAGAAATGTCATACTGGTAAAAATAAATAAAACAGAGTGTTGAAAAGCTTTGCTTAACGTGCATTATGACATTTATAAAGACAGACTTTGCATTTATAATTTTGAACTGAGAAATGCAAGGCAGACCTTCTTCTCTGACATCATTGCCAAACACAATTATAACGGACATGTCTTATTTGCTACTGTTGAAAGGCTGACATCCCCTCCTGTGTCCGTAGCCACTGAGCCTTTATCCACTAAATCGTGCAATGAATTTCCCTCATTCTTCACAAACAAAATTTTAGATTTAACAAGCTGTCCATATCGCCACATCGGGTGTTGTCCTTGCATTTACTTCAAAGCAATTCCATGAGCATGACACAGTTTGATCAAATAAAACCTCAAAAGAAATTGGGCAACATCTGAAATCTCCCTCCTGTTGCTTTTAAAGTGTCTCTACAGGCTTTTCTAAAAATATTTTTAACTACATGGCGACAGATCTTCAGATAGTCAACACAAATCTACTCTGAGACAATTTCGACAGGCCCTGAAACCTGCAGTTATTGTAGAAACCTACAATTAAAAAAAACAATGTCGGCACTCCTTAATGAATAATTACAGACCTGTACCAAACTTCCTGTTTTTAAGTAAAATCATGGCTTAAACAATTGTCTTGGGTGTTTTCTAGTCAGGATTTTGTGGTCTTGGTATTATTAAATCTCAGTGCTCATTGGATTAAATAACAATCATTGTGTTGCAAAATCTCCAGCTGGTTTCTGGTCAAACATTTGACTGGGGTTAATGGTATTATGTTATATTTTTAGATACATGTGTTTAAGAAAGGATTATTGGCTTGGCTCACTCATATTCTCGTGGTGATATGTTCATTGTGTTTCTGATGCAATGATTTCATCCCCCTTGCCTTATGGTGTCTAGTAGTTCATGACTCAGACTGTCACCATTACACACCGGGCAACAATCCTGTCTCATACCAGAAACGTTTCACACTATTGCATTTTTAGTTAAAATTAAACTGGTGCAAAGTTCTTTCTAGCCAATGATGTCATTTCCTCTTGTCATTTACCAAACTGCCACACTTGGTTCATTCTGTACCAACCCAAAGTCTATTTGGGACGATGATAGCTGCCACGAGATATTTAATTACAACTTACAGGCAGTCACAGTCAGCTGTTTATTTTATTAACAGCCTAAATGTGGCACAAGCAGACACATTAGAAAATCGATTTCACATTACGGACCAACAGAGATGGTAGATTTGTGATTCATAAGTTATTTCAGGTATTTCAGGACGTCCAGAACACCATAAAAGGAGTTTTTGTAGTGTTTTCAAGGTAGATGAAATGTTTCAGACACACAAAAATGGTGTAATGATATTCTTTTGACATTTTTATTAGAATTAGAATCTAATATAATATCACCCAATTATGTGGAGATTTGACTGGTTGTCAATAGTACTCAGTATACATTAGTATTCAACTAATCCTGTCTTAAACCAATCATTCCCAATAAGGAGACAGTTTCACCTAAAGGGACCCAAGATCTGAGGGGTCACAAGATGATAAGCTATTTTTTAAAATGTTTTGTCTACATTTCTTCTGACTTTTCTGCCCTTTATCATGAAATATGTCTACATTTAACATTTCCAGCTTCTTAAAATAATTTGAGTTAATGGGTCAGAAGCCAAAAATGTTGGGGACCACTGCCATAAACGGTCACAGCATCAGTGACAAAACACCATATGACAGAGTGCACTTGCTTTTGTATGATAACCATCTTCCCCTGGCATATATTCCAGTTATATAATTGACCCACTGATAAACGTTATATCAAGAGCAAACTCCAGCAAGAAGACATTCTCAAAAGTTGTAGACACATCTAGAAAGTTTGTCTTATTCCAGGCCTTAATGTGTCAACTGCACTTGATGAAGTGATGCCTCTGACATTTGCAGACATTAAGGACTAAGGTTAAGTCAACATTAGTAAGCCATTAAACCATTTTCTGTTGCTTTAACCTGGTTGCATGCAGTGCCAAGTCTATTCTTAGGTAGTGGGCTAATATTTTTCCTTTGCTTCCTTTGCCCAGAGATAACTGAGCGGTTTAGTTTGCTTTCTCTGGAGCACCTGTGAGCCTTAGCTGTCATAACTTTCACTCCTCTGTCTGACTTCTTTACTTTCCAGCTGTCTGAATCAATGAAAGTGAAGTGAAAGCAAAATCTTTCTAGTCTTCACACGATAGGAACATTGTTAGTCATGAGCTCAGGTGTTAAAAGCGACAATAAAAAGCAGCAGACATTTACAGCCCCACGTTTATGATTTGAACTTTCTAAACTCATCAAAATGATCATCTGGTTGGCACACGATAGGGCGAGCCACCTCTTCATTTGATTCACACTCCTCACTTAGAGCTTTGATAATGTCAGTATATGTCCCTGCCATTTTACACTGGTTCACCACAGTCACCTTCACACCATCGCTCCATTATTATCTGTCCCTTTATCAGCGTACCATACAGGGCCGCTGCCAAGCTGTGCTATTACTGTCAACACCACTGTTTATGGAAGATTTTTTCAGGTCACCCCTATACATTTTGAGGTAGTTGTACTCCAGGAAAAGCAGACGTGACGTCTATCAGTTGTGGAAAGCTATAGGGTCTAATCTTTCTAGAAAGTCTGGTTAATGACATCCTCTGTAGCAAAATAAATGGAAACGAAATCACTGAGAATTGCCTTTTGAGTTAGTTCTTAATTGTAGAAACACAGTTGCATCTTTAATAACAAACCCAACTTAATACGTTACTGCTTGTTTGATGCTGCTGTCTGACTCTCAATGTTATATATATAGTATTTTATAATTAATAATATTTATTTCCTGGAGATTACATGTTTGTGGGTGTTATGGGAAAATGAAGAGATATAGATGAAGCCATGGATAAATATAGAGAGTACTGACCATATACTCTACTGTAGGACTTACTGGTAGTCATAGAAGCCAGCCACTTTGCTCTCAGAGGACCTACTTATGCTCTGAAAACAGCTGAACTTAACACTCACTCATGCACACTAGATGCCTTGATCACCTAGGGCCAGAACCAGAGCCCGGGGGATTTTCAGCGTTGCTCAGTGACCTGTTGGGACCACCTGTTTCGGTAGCATGAACTAACCTTCTTCCTCTCTTGTTTTTCTTTCAGTAACCACCTCTCCCCTGTCCACTGCAGACCAGATGTGGTAAAGTAAGTGGACTTTATTACCCTCACTCTAGTGGCATGAAATGCAGTGTCATATTTCCTAAATTATATTTATTATAAAACTGTTATTGAACCATAATGTCGAAAATGTCGTCTCTCCTAACCATTTTTCTTGGTTCTTAAGTTTTCTGGACAGGACGATACGTTCAACAGTGGAGCAGCACCTCTTTGATGTAAATCCTTTAGGGGGTCAAAGTGCAGAGGACTGTCAATTGACACCATGTCCACTGTCTCCAAGTGTGACGCCAACTGCCCGACAGAGACGTCGACACCTGAGAGAGCAACAGGAAGATGAGCTGAGACACAAAGAAAGAAACAGGTACAATGAGTCTGACACCGTCATGGCGTTGGTAGTTGATGGTACCACCATGAAATGAGTGGCGTTTTGTCTTTAGTCGCACTGAAGTGCACTGAATCTAGTTCTCATCACTTCATTCTGTAGCCTGTAATTGTGTCTTATTCATTTTCCTTGATTCTAGTGGGCAACAACTTCTCTATTTTGGTTTCTATTTCTATTTCTATGGTTTTATTTCAAGATATGGATAATAGAAAAATACCCTTTGTTTTATTGGAACCGTTTTTACTCAAAGATTGTCTTTTCAAGATAGTTTTGAGAATGCCTGCTTGTCACACAGAAATACGCTAGCTAATTTATCAAAGTTCAGGGAGGTAACCCAGCATCAGCAATTGCAGAATACCATCTCTTTCAGAAATTATCAGTGGAACCTCGGAAGGTGCATTTGATTTTTTGTAAATGTAGAAAAGACATAAAATTATCCAGCCAATTAACAGGACACCAGAAAATTATTTTTACTTATAGAAATGCACAATGAGATGCCATTATTTCTAAAGCTTGACTGCAGTGCCTCACTGCAATGCTACTACTTCCAGTTATTCTGGTAACAGTAAACAGTCGTAAGGTAAGGTTTCCAGTGGTGGAAAGCTTGTCCACTGAGACACAGTACAGTCATAACAACTGCAGTCATCGCAGTAAGAAGCTAATCCTTGTTGATGGTGATCTAGTAGAGACTGAGAGATCAGTAACACGTAGATTAGAGGAGTGCATTAGACCAAAGATAGCAGAAAATGTCAATAAGTGCGTGGACAGTAAATAGACAGTAAATAGAATTAGCACTAAAGCTAAACAGCACATTACCTGCTGGGGAAGCTATAAGTAAATGAGGTATGAAGACGACCTTGGCATTTAGTTTCCTGTAGCACTCCATCCAATATGGAGCTGAAAAAGACAGACCAAAGTATGCAACAGAGAGAGTGAGATTGAAGGCAGATCTCTCATTTCCTCACCATTTTCTGTCTGAGAACAGAGCTGCGTCTATCAGAGCAGACACCAACAAGGAGAACATCCCGTCGAGCAGTGGAAGCAGTTCAGGCAGCGTGGGGGAGGACACGGCCAGCAGCGTGGACTCGCAGGGAGGCCAGAGTGGTCACACTGAGCGAACCTCCAAACCCAGGAAGTCGAAACACAGCCCAACACTGGTGCAGCTCACCGACAACCAGGACGCCCACGCAGTGAGTCATCAAGCCTCTTGTCTTCATCTCTTTTTATCTTTGTCATTTGTCACCATCTTGGAAGTGTCTCTTCGACTTTTCTCTTATAATTGTTGGGTTTTTGACTTCTTTCTTTTTTTGCTGTTTTAGTCCATCTTTTCTCTCATGTGACAGGTCAGTCCTTGGAGAAGGACAATAGATAACCTTAAGAAAGCAAGTTTCTTTCCGTTTTGTAGCATTATCTAGGCTACTTTGATTCTAGTCAATTCAAACATTGCTGCCAATTTTAGACATCAGAAACAACATTTTATCACCAGTTTAAAGGGCAATCACAAAAATCATCACCGTAGATCCTCTCCTCTAATGCATCTGTGATGCAGATAGGCTGTTCAAGCATTTGATTATTTCTGACATACTGTAAATAATTGTCAGTTACAGTTAACAAGAATCACTAAATGCAGACAGCAGCGAGCTGGAAGATGACAGGAAGCAGTACAGCTGCCTAATGGCTCCCTGCCATTCTCATTGTACAGCAGCTTGTAATATGGAGCATGTCACACTAATTGTTAACCACTCTTTTCCAGAAGCAGCTCAAACGTAAGGGCCACTTATGAGTGTACAATTAGCTGCAGCTTTTATCCACTGAAGAAGATGCTGCACCAGAGAGCAGCTTGTCTTTTCTACTGTTATCATGTGGGTACTCGAGACCACAATGAACCAAAAACTTTGTTAAGTGCTCAGCATTTGTATTGTGTAAAGGGGAAATACAGTAAAGTATGTTTTTAATGTAGAATATTTATTTTTATTTTTAGTGTATTTAACTTATTATTATTGTCTGGGCTTGACAGCTTCCACACTGAAGTAGCTTCTGCTCAGATTGGGTGATTTTGCTCACCATTTCCATATCTACCAAGGTATGTTATGTGTCAGGTTGTATAAGATAATTTTGGCCAATGTTACAAATCAGTGAGCACGATTTACACAATTTTTGCACTTTGTTGAAGCACTCTGACTTTTTAGGTATTTCAAACCAGACGTTCCCTTCTGATTCTGTTTCTAAATTGAATTTCCAAAAAATTTATGGCAGATAATGATTTGGCAGCTGTGATAATAATTGAGTTATTGCTTCAGTTTTCCAGCAATGACCCCAAATATTTTCTGGTTCCAGCTTATCAAATGTGAGGATTTGATGCCTTTTTAATTGTAAATTAAACAGCTTTCAGCTTTGGACTATTGGTCTGACTAAACAAGCAACTTTAAGACGTTACTTTGGGCTTTGGGGCATTGTGTTGGCCGTTTTACACATCAGTACACTAGCAATTAATTGATTAATTCTATTCTATTCTATTCTAATTGTCGCCTTAATAGTTACCAGTACCTATCTCCTGCTCTAGCTCAGCATCCAGGTTTAGTGTACCAGTATAACTAGATAGTAAAATACTTAGTCAGCTACCTCTCGCTTTGCCAACCAAGACTCAGTGAATCATACCCAACAGTGGTATTGCACAGTGAGCGTTCTATACGAGGAGTGTGTGAAAGCAGTCAAATTCACAGCACAGACATGGTGTGAACCATGTCGCTGTAGTAACATGATCCAGTCTCCAAAGACTCATCTTACACTACAGCTGCATGAAAGCAAGTTGCATTAATATTCACATTTGGCTCATTATGATATGTGCTAATGTAAAGTTCAACTGCATGGCACGCTGTCCCACCGACCGACTGATGGAAAAAGATTTGTTCACTTTACACTCTCACACTTGAGGAACAGAATCCCTGTGGCAAACCCCTTATGTAACAGTACAGATGACACACGGTGCCTTGACACACATATGGTATATATGTGGTAGGTGGCAAAGTCGTGATTGGCTGGACAAGTGTTGCTGAGTGGCTGGCAGCAATGGTTTGATGAGTGAGGGTCTGTGTCTCTGTCTGTGTGAACAGCCATCTCTGTGAATGTGAGCTTGTTATGTCAAGAGGCACGGAGGGCAATTAGAGGCTCTGAAAGCCTGCTGAGTATTATTTCTCAGGCTGTAGCAGCAGCACAGCATGATACAATACATGCAGTATTTTTTGTTTTATTTGATATTTTTGATACATTTCAGCCATAAAATCACCTTTTTGTTGTTTATACAGCCATGGCAAAGATGAAATTTAAAATTAAAGATGAAAGTTAAAATATTTAACATGACGTGTTTAGCCCTGCTCTATGCATGTCCCTGTCAATCGGTTGGTCCCCCACTTTGGTCCAGACTGAAATGTCTCAACAACTATTGAATGGAGTGCCATGACATTTTGTACAGACATTCATGGTTCCCCGACAAAGAATCCTTATGAATTTCTTGTGTTGTATTTCAGTAACTGCTGCAGGAGGTGGTGAAGTTAAAATGTTATTCTACAGATTACAGTCTTTACCGTTCACCATCCACAAAGGTTCATAAAAGCAATCACGGTTCCTTGTTTCATATTTCGTATATTGTGAGCAAGAACTGAATGTGACCTTTTACATATCAGTACTTTATGAGCCTCTGTTTTTGAAAAGATTACACTACACTGAATAGCTCCAAAATCCTCCTTAACATACCCATAAAAGGTTTAGAAAGAAAAGATGATGAATCACGTTTCATTGGATATGCTAATACAACATTGAAAATCATTAAATGTGTGTAGATGATTAATGTATGTATACTTTTTTCCCAGTTAAAGGAATGTGTTGGTGAGAGACCTGGAGCAAACCTCATGGAGACATTTCAGAAAGGGTAAGCTCTTCACTCCTCTACTTGATATAAAATATCACTACACATGTTGAATTGCTTTTTCCCACCACGTTTCCTATAAACACACAAATTGTAGCACGTGTTACCTAAATGTTTGTTTTACATTGATAAGCAACTGGCTACCACTAGCAGCTCTGTCTGTTATCTTAAGGAATCTGTACACTTTATCTGATAAAGACAGGCAGCAGAGATACAGTATATGTATGTGTATGTACAAACTGTGTGGGGTTTCCTGAAGTTTCTGACTACTGGAAGATAAACTCTGTTGTTTCTGTTTGATCAGTCGCAGCTTCTTTGCTAAAATGGTTTCTCTGTTGGTTTTTTTTAGGAACGACATTTCAAGAAAAGATGGTATTCCTTCTCCTCCACAGGTAGGATAAAGTCCACAGTTACTTTTCTATGAGTCTCTGTTTGTTAGGTTGCACATTGTGTTTCAGCTCTCCTCCTTCCTCTTCTTACACAGTGCCTCTGCTCTGCCATGCATGTGCCACTGGAGGAAATTAAGAGTATCAGATTTTAGGGCAATGGATATGGAAGAAAGGAAAGGGCTGAGTATTGAATCTCAATACTTTTTTGTTACTGAATAGATGTGTCAGCAACACCTAGTATTAAAACCTGCCAAGTTCCAAAAGCATCAAATTCTCGCTCAGATTTCTACTTTTCTTTAAAACAGTTACTGATCGAAAAGATATGTTTTAGACTACGCTATTTGGGTAAGCTTCTTGCATGACTGCCTTTGTTTAGTTGACATTTAACATTTGGTTTCATTGTTAGAAAAAAATTTTCATGTTCTTTCAAATAAAGTATAGAAAAAGTTTTGTTTTAGGTATCATATTGGCCCTTTTATGATGGAAAATATTGAACCATTAGGACAAGTCAAAGTGCTCTCCATAGTTTAAAAACACAGAAGAATTGGATTTAAAAATAACAAAATAATGGAAAAATGGATTAAACTTAATAAAAAGCAGTGGCAAACAGAAAAGGAAAGCACTAACCATAGGGTTTTTTTTGACCAGTTGTGTAACTAACCTTAACAACACCATGCTGCTCTCATACTCACCCCTGTTTTGAAACACTACCACAGAAACTCTGCAGTTCCACAGAAACATAACATTTCAGTTATGACAAAGGGAGATTTGCTAAAAGGGATTTTCCACCTATTATTCTTACACAAACATACTGTAGTTTCTCAGTCAGCTGTTCAGAACACTGTGGAAATCCTGTACACTTTTGAAGTTTTGTGTTGCTGTGAGTGTGAGCAGAAGGAAAAAGTCACGCTCTCCATCTGCTCGTCTCCACTTTTAATCTGGACCCGCACCGCCGAACAGAATCATGCAGCACTGCACCAATATGGTGAATTTTTTTTCTAATCAGCCCAGATGGATTTTAGTGGCAGCTCAGGCTGCAGCTCCAGTACCACCACACTGTGCCACTGAGCGGCCATCTGGAGCCGGTGTGGCGCCGCTATGAGAGGAGGCTGGTGTAGCAGTCTCTCAGCTGGTCATTAAAGCCCGAGTTACAACACGAGCATCACACAGACATGATTGTTACCATCAGGCCAACTTTGTCTTCCCCTGAGCTGCAGTTATTTAGATTAATTAATAAACTGATCCTGTCTGCAAGGTTACATGCTGTTAAGTTGACTTATCTATACAGTATTTTGGTGATCTGGCAGTCATTATGAGATGTGTTATTTACTGCTTAACCAATCAGTAGATCAACAGAGAATTAATCAACCAGTTTGATAGTTGTTTAAGTCATTTATTAGGCATATTCTCTCATTCTTTAATGTGAGAATATGCCTCTTTTCTCTCTTTTGTTTTATTGTAAATTGCGTATATTTGGAATTTTAAATGTTGGCCGGACAAAATAAGACATCTCTTCGGACTCATTGTCGTCATCACAGTTTTTACTGTTTTATGACATTTTATAAACTCAATTATTTATCAGTTACCTACTTAAATAATCAACATGTATGATTTAGTTGTGAGTGACTTGTTAAAACACATACCTCTGTCTTGCAGCTTTTTTGTCCTAAAATACATAGGTCATGGTCATTTATTGCATGTCACAATATGTCCATGTGTGTCTTGCTTTAGTCCCTGGAAACCGATAGCAAACATGACCCATCTGTCAGAACATCTTGTACCTACAAGCTAAGAAAACTGATAGTGGGAAATGAGGGCTGCAGTGTTTTTAACCAGCTCATGTGTGCAAGACAGCTGCAACACTGACATGTCAATTAAATGCCAACATAATTACTATAGGAGCTAGGAGCCAAGTCAGTACTGGGTAGTACTGATTTCAATGTTTGCATATACCGCCATACACACAGCTAAAGCAACTGCTGTAACTCTTCAGTGAGCAGCAATATTGTTTTTGCCTCTAGGTCGACACAAGCTGCGTAGAGTGTATTGAGATGGGAGCCCTATTAACTGCGTACCCTTTTTACTAACGCCTATGATTTTATAACACAACAATTAATAACATACAACTAACTCTTTTTAACAGGGCAAAACCAACAAAGCAATTTGTGACAGTTTGTTTCTTCTTCTTTCACTTTGGAAACTTAAATACTTATTGGCAGTGACATAAATACTGTAATGTCAGTTTAAAAGGAAGCAATAGTAAAGTGGTTGGCACATCTTTTTTTATCTTTCAGTTCAGTTTTTACGATGTTGCAGTTTGCAAAATAAAAATTCTGCAATTGTTTTAAAGCATTTTGATTCCTTTATATATTGTATTGCCAAATACCCTTACGTATGAAGACGTTAAAATGTTTTTGTATTCCGTGTTCTCCTGTCAAAATATAAAGGGTTAGTCATGTAAAAACAATACCGTGAAATCACCATAAAGAAATACCATGATACAAATGTTTGGTCATACAGCTCCAGAACTACACCCACAACCAGAAATTGGACGTCTATGTGTGCATGTGCTTTGAAATGTAAAGTGTGGTGAAACACATTTAATGGTTTCAGACCGAGGAAGCTTATTTCAGGCTGAATCTTTGTGTGTGGGTTTGTTGGTGTGTGTGTGTGTTCAAGGTTATGTGCTTGTTTGTGTTCCATCTCAGCGAAATGCCCCTTAAATTCCTTATTGTGTTTGTTTGTACACTGTGTGTGTAAGCCCCCCCAAATACAGCTTTATCATTGTCTAATGCATCTCTCTCACACAGGCACACACACACACCACACACACACACAGTAGCTCTGTCTATATCTTGCCCCTCCTTTGCACCAGCTGGAGGTCTCATGATGATGTAATCGTGGCCCGGGTGTGTGTGAGTGAACACAGTGGCTGATGTTCCAGGGAACAGAGTGCACAGCGTGCGTATCTGAACGTGTGTGTGCGTGTGTGTG